ATCATCAATGGGGTTGGCCCTTGGTCCTGTGGTGCGTCTCTGGACTAGAGAACTCTATAGATCCATACAACAGTCGACAAGTTGGGATCAGAAATTTTGCTTATCCGAAGAGGGTAGAAATGAAATTCTATTTTGGCATGAAAACTTTTCGAACAGTGGCCAGCCCATTTGGGCTGCATGTCCAATCATTGAAGTGATGACATATTCCGATGCCAGTGATGTGGCATGGGGTGGATATGCAGTTCAATTGGGTGGGCAGACAGCTGTGGGCAGCTGGTCGGAGAATGAGAGTGTAAAAAGCTCTACGTTTCGGGAGTTAAGGGGTGCGAGATTGGTGTTAGAGTCAATGGCACCACAGTTGGAGGGAAAGGAAGTGCGTCATAGGACAGACAGCCAAAGTGCAGAAAGAATTATGACAGTCGGTAGTCGAAATCCAGAACTACATAAGGAAGCCATCTTGCTCTACAAAGTATGTAGAGAACATAATATTCGTTTGTCGGTTGAGTGGGTCAGTCGAGATTTGAACGAGGATGCGGACTACCTATCTAGATTGGATGATCCAGACGATTACAAGTTAGATCCAAAAGTATTTGGATCTATTGACAATTGTTGGGGCCCACACACATATGATCGGTTTGCTAGTATGAAAACCAACCAGCTACCACGTTTTTCAAGCAAGTATATGAACCCCGGTTGTGATTCGACCGACGCATTCACCGTTTCTTGGGTGGGTGAGAACAATTGGCTTTTCCCTCCACCATACTTAATCCCTCGTGTGTTGCGCCATATGAATGCCAATAACGAATATGGTACTTTGCTTATCCCTTACTGGCCTTCAGCACCATGGTGGCCGTTGCTCATCAACAAGCGGGGTTGTTGGAACTCGTTTGTGACAGGCTGCCTGGAACTTTCTACATACAATGGCATATTTATATCAGGATCATTGTCAAGCAATATATTTACTGCGGGTGTGCCGCCTTTCGAGCTGCGGGCTCTCCAGTTGCGATTCAAGTAGCATGTGGTGGGAGGTCGTTTGGACCAAAGAACCCACAAGGTCGTGTGGACCATAAATCTACTGAGGTCGTTTGGACCTGTAGATGAAAGTACATTTATATTAGTGTTGAATAAAAAATCATTGCCCTATTTGTCGTTTGGACTAGCAAGGGGTAGGTCATGTTGACCGGCGAATATTTTGTTGAGACTGTATTTACGCATGTATTAGTTTTAACATTAGGTCGGTTTGACCTGTGGCATGTGTAGTAGGGTTTGCATGGTTGTGTTGACCATGGCATGTACTGTATATAGATATTGTTTATTATATGAGCTATTTGGGCTGAGGGGTTTAATATAATATATGGTTATGTAGGTTAATCTGCCTTGTTCTTGCAGACCATAAATCTACTGAGGTTGTTTGGACCTGTAGATGAAAGTACATTTATATTAGTGTTGAATAAATCATTGCCTTTTATGTCGTTTGGACTAGCAAGGGTAGGTCATGTTGACCAGCGCATATTTTGTCGAGACTGTATTTACACATGTATTAGTTTCAACATTAGGTCGGTTTGACCTGTGTGCATGTGTAGTAAGGTTTGCATGGTTGTGTTGGCCATGTGCCATGTCCTAGTGAGATTCAAGTTGAAAACTGGCTTGATCTTGATCGGTTTGATGATCCAGAATTGAAGAAGCTGGCTGAATTGCTGCCTAGTATCATCATTCAGGACAGAGCTGAGGGCACTATAAAAACGTATATTAGTGCCTATAGGCTTTGGAAACGTTGGGCGTGTACTCATGGCGTATGTCCAATTCCGGCGGACGGGACCGCCTTGGCATTGTATATTGTGTCCTTGATACAACAACGACGATCGGTGTCGTCGATTAATTCAGCAGTATATGGCATTGATTGGATCCATAAAAAGAATGGCTATGGACTTCCTAGCGTACATTCTGTTGTGAAACAAGTGACTGACGCAGCTAGGCGAATTCTAGCGAAACCCAAATCAAGAAAAAAGCCTTTATCTAGCACACAAGTTAAATCGATTGTGCAAAGGTTGGAGAAAGGATCCCTTGCTGATCTCCAGGTAGCAGCGATGTTTGCATTGGGATTCTATGGCTTCCTTCGCTGGGATGATCTCAGTCGTATTACCCCTGAGCATCTCGAGTTTGCACCAACCCATCTACTTGTTCACCTGGAGAAGAGAAAAAATGACCAGTTCCGGAAAGGAACGCAAGTCCTGATTGCAAGAGCGGACAGAGCACCATGCCCGGTAGCTGTGGTTGAGAAATTTCTGGGGAAGGGACGTCATAAGCCAGGAATCTCCATTTGGAGACGTATCCAGAGTACCAAATATGGTCAGGTACTTCGGAGTACGCCTATGACATACAGCCGTGCTAGCGAGTTGTTCAAGAAAGAATTGGTGAAGGAAGGTCTTGATGCTGAAGATTATGGTCTTCACAGTTTACGATCTGGTGGTGCTACAACTGCAGCTGCTCTGGGTATTCCAGACCGCCTGCTACAGAGGCAAGGAGGGTGGCGTACTGCGGAGGCAAAGAACAATTACATTGTTGAGTCAAAAAACTCGTTACTTCATGTTACAAAAACAATGCAGAAGGCATAAATTGTATAAAATAACTCTATGCGTTGTGTGGTTGCGGCTGACGCTGCAGCAGCTCCCAGCGGTGTGTGAGAAGTGTTATTTTCCGCTGGCTGAGGCACGAAAGAAGCGGAAAATGTTTTCTCACACACTGCTGGGGGCCTGATGAAATCAGGGTGTTACAGGGTGGTGCAGGTTATATGAGCATATTTTTGTTGTTGCTCACCGTAGCTTGACAGTATCCCGCCCACCCAGCCCTTTTATGTTTATTAGTACAGAACGGCGTTGGATTGGATATATATGTACCTGTTAGGGTAATTATTAAGCGAGCATTTGTAATGTATGGTAGTTTAAATTAATAAATGTCAAGCTTGCGGCTGACGCTGCAGCAGCTCCCAGCGGTGTGTGAGAACGAAATTTTCACCTCATTTTTTATTGTTTTGCTAAAAAGTACTGCTAGTGTAATGAAGAATGACGTTTACAGTTTCTTCATATCTCATCTCGTTCTCAAGTTATCGCACTTTCTAAATTTTGAGTTGTGACGTCACTAGTTTGACTTGAGATAATGGCAATAACAAGAAAGTCTGATATCTTAGTGAGTATTTAATAAAATTCAATGAAACTCGGCACACTTAGTGGGTGCACCCACATGAATATTTTTGGCAGGTCATGTGGTTGCCATGGCAACACACTAGTCCCCAGTCTCTTCTCTTCCTTTTTACAAATCTCCTCCTGTAGACCTCTTGCAGAAGATATTTGCATGTTATAACGGTTTAAAGTGATCACAACGCCTACACGTATTATAGTAATAAGCGACAATTGCAGAAATTACTATTTATTTCGTTGGAAATGGATCATATAGAAATTGGAAGAGAAGGGACTGGGGATGAGTGTGTTGCCATAACAACCATATAAACAAGCCAAATTGGTCACTTCGTTGCACCCACTAAGTGTGCCAAGTTTCATTGAATTTTATTAAATGATCATCAAGATATCAGATTTTCTTGTTATTGCCATTATTTTGAGTCAAACTAGTGACGTCACAACTCAAAATATAGAAAGTGCGATAACTTGGGAATGAGATGAGATACGAACAAACTGTAAACGTCATTCGTCATCATTTAAGCAGTACATTTTAATAAGACAATAAAAATCCAGGCAAAAATTTCGTTTCATAAGCACTTTAACTGATGTCAGATACATGAAAACGAGGCTCTATAGCTAAAGTGACTTAAATCCGGAAGGGTGTATTACTCTCGTTATTGCACCAAACGTGAGCAGCTGGGCTTAATGGACCATTTGCATTATAGACTAAATTTTGATCTAGACAAAAATTTCATCACAGCTTGAAAGAGCATAACAAAATTAGTAGTAGTAACGCGAAAATGTTGTAAAATGCGGATAATATAGCCTTGCGAAATTTGCAATTTTCAGTCATTTTGTATTACAAACGGGAAATTGATGCCCCAACACCCGATTGGGCTGTCGATTTCACGTGTGTAATACAAAATGACTGAAAAACGGCAAACTTCACAAAGCTATATTATCCGCATTTTACAACATTTCGCAACGAAACTTTGGAATATTACTAATTTTGTGATGCTCTTTCAAGCTGTGATGAAATTTTTGTCTAGATCAAAATTTAGTCTATAATGCAAATGGTCCATTGTTTCCGTATCTTAAATGTTTTCATTTAGCTACTATAATCTATAATGATCTAGAATAATGGCTGGCCTCCCGTCGAGTTGTGACTCTTTAGTCTTTATGTAGCATCGCATCATTAATTTGATAACAAACCCATATTTAGATTATTAAATATATCGAGAATATTCTCTTGCTTACCCATTCTTGATCTTTGACAGTATGAACGGCTGGCGAATCTATGAAAATAGAAAAAATACATGTTATAAATTAAAGCTGAGCTGCTATCGAACTGATTAACAATTGAAATGAATCTTAAACGATTGAAGTACATCTCAAACGATTGAATTGGAAACTGATTCTAATAGACTTGTTTCAGTAATTTCTATTTGAAAAGCAATATATGAAGACTTCTTTTCAATTACACAGTTAGGTTAGGGTTATATAGGCTTATTCTGTTAATCAAATACACCGGTAAAAACGCACAAGTTGTTACAAGTCTGCAAATCAGCTGACAAGTTGTGTTCGCACTGCTTGTTCCCAGTTGTTGTAACAAGTTTGGAACAAGCTGTTAACAAGTTGTAACAAGCTTGATGGCATTATCAGACTTGTTACAAGGTTGTTCTAACAAGTCTGATACAGTCATGATATAACAAGAATGTTACAAGGTTGACGACACAAGGTTGTAACAATATTGTTATATCATGACTGCATCGAACTTGTTGGAACAACCTTGCAACAAGTCTGATAATATCAACATGGTTGTTACAACTGTTAACAGCTCGTTCCAAACTTGTTGACAACTTGGGACAAGCAGTGCGAACACAACTTGTTGACGGTTTGTTGGCAGACTTGCTATAAGATGTGTGATTTTGCGTGTGTACGTGCTTTGGGGCTAACTATATACGTGCATTTCAAGGAGGCTTTGAAAGAGTTAAATGTCTAATTAATTTCGTCTAATCATTAGAGAATTAGAGTAAAGTATAAAGAGCTTTCCGATCGTTATGTGTAAATTGTGGCACACCCTAAATTCTGATGATGTTTGTGCACGATTCATCGGCGAGTCATTTGACGTCTCTCTTGTATTCTGTCACTGTTAGAGTCTAACCTATGATGCATGAGCATGAACTATGTCCATTTATTCCAAAATTGACCCCTGTTGTGAATCCACTAACATCATAGTGCACAATGAATTGACGAAGAAAAACATTTTAATTAAACAAAAAAAAACAACTGCAAGCTACTTAGGTTTTGAGAATGATATTTCCGCCCTTTTTATACTTAAAGTGACCGAGAAATGCTCACAACTACACTTCTTCAGCTTATAACTATAGTATAGCCTCCAACACAAGCAATTCTGTGCCTGTGGCTTCTGAAACGATGAACTTAATAGTCTTGGAGAAAAACGTTGAGATTTCACTTCCCGAACGACGAATTTATACACAGTTGGCAGTTGCCTGTGGAGGCAAGTTTAAACGCGTACTAATAATTACCATCATGGCTCACGCGATAAAACTTAAACACGTAACACAATGAAGTCCAAATAATGTGTTTTGGCACCACAATGGCGGCCACTTTATTTTTATCGAACAATTAACATTAATTCATATAGCCTCGAGGTCTGTAACCGTAAGACAATGGATAATATACATGTACAAATGGATACAAAACTTAGAGTTGGGAGGGTGAACATGGGTAACAACATTGTATGAGGCCTAAACTTGGCTAAAGAGTAAAGTCTAAAGAATATCAATGAATGGTTGTTGACGTTGTACTTGCAATTTTTGTAATTTCTTGGCTAAAACAATAAAAGCTAACAGTCTAACAGCTAAAGGCAAATGTTTGTTATGTTTTCACGTTATTTTGTCTGCTTTATTTCAAATTGCTCCAGGCAGCTTGTAAACTCGTTATGTCATTTCGACAAAACTTGTCATCGAAATTAAGCTCAATGTTCTTTTGAAATTTGAAAACGATATGGGTTAGGGTCATTCTGTTTCAAATGTATATATAGGCTAAGCCTAAGGTTAAGGATCTACTCATTGACTACTTCCGAAAAACAACTCATGTTTTATGAAGTTTAGTCAATTCTCGTTCTATATTTAGAAGTGTAAATATGAACAGCCAAAAGCACTATAGGAATTG